TTTTTATGGATAGAGAAATTCTGTCACTTGGGCATTCCAGAGAGAAAAAGGAGTGATGATTTTATGTTCTCCTTTTTTTTTTTTTTTTTTTTTTGACCTAGCTCAGCTAGAGAAAGCAGGGAAAAACTACCAACCTGTATGACAACACCCATTCTTGAGATGGTAATAATGAGAAAGTAGGTCCTAGGCTACTCCATGTAGATTTGAGTCTACTTTGGCCAAGAGCTGATCTCACAACACATATAGAATGGTGCTGCCAGATAGACCCTCACTCCCTTGGGAACTCCGTGATCTACCTAAGAGAGAGAAAAGATGGAACATAGGCCCACCTAGTTTCATCCATCCACCTGCATAACCAACATACATGTGAGGTCCCCTGCACTGACAGCCAGACTGCCTGGAATAAACTTCTTCAGGGAGGACAAGAAACTGAAACAGGTTCATCAAGTACAAGCTAGCTTCCTAATACCCATTTTGATGGAGACAACCTATAGATAAGTATAGAAGGATAGAGGGAGCCAGTCTGGTTAGTGACACCGAGTAAAGTCCCTTTAAGTGATAAAATGATACGGGCACATAATATAGGACAAGAATGAAATTTAACATTTGAGTGTCTACTCAAAGGCAGTGTTGTAAGACAGTAATAGCACATTAAGAAGAATTTCAGGAACATAAAATCAAAGTGGAGCCAAATAACACGTGTTATAAACAGGAAATACCTTCCTTTCTTTGACTTAAAAAACAGAATTATAACTGAAAAGTGTTGGACTAGGAAAACATTATGGAGTGGCATTTGAAAGTGAATTCTTAAAAATTATAACTTTGTGGTCTTCACTAATATTAACACATTTCCCATCTGTTTTTCATCTTCTTTTTCCTTTGTAATTCATCTTGACTCATCTTCATTGTGCTTGAGCATTCCAGTTTCTTGTTCTATTTTTATCTTCCTGTCTGTTGTGTCAGAATGTACCTACAAATCTAATACAAATGTCCCATGGAATACAAAAGATGAGGACATTTACTAACTCACTAGTCCACATGGATTTCAGCTATTTCTGACTTGTTATTGATTAGCTTATTGTAATTTAATTTTAAAATGCAGTCCAGGCCAGGCACGGTAGCTCACGCCTGTAATCCCAGCACTTTGGGAGGCTGAGGCAGGTGGATCACAAGGTCAGGAGTTCAAGACCATCCTGGTCAACATAGTGAAACCCCGTCTCTACTAAAAATACAAAAAAATTAGCCGGGTGTGGTGGCGGGCACCTGTAATCCTAGCTACTTGGGAGGCTGAGGCCGGAGAATCACTTGAACCCGGGAGAGGGAGGTTTCAGTGAGCAAAGATTGTGCCACTGCATTCCAGCCTGGGTGACAGTGCGAGACTCTGTCTCGAAACAAAAAAAAAAAAGCAGCCCAAAAAACTTAGTAAAAATCCCAGGTCAATGTATTGCACGAGTATTTTATAACCTAATGGTATTTATACCACTTAAGTGTAAACCTTCTCTGAAAATGTGTAGCTAGATTTATGAACATACCTTGTAAGAAGAGCATAATTGAACAGAAAAATAACAACTGTATAAGCATTTTTAAATTACCAAATGGTATTTTCACAAAATACCTATTTAAAATAAGCATTAACTAAGCATTTATATGAAGTATTTCTCTAGAGTATTATGATTTCCTATATATGATTGCCAAATTCCCATTATAAATCAAAACCCAACTTTTTCTCCAATCTCTTTCTTAATTTGTGCCAGTTTTATTCTTAAAATCCTTGTGGTGCTTGTTCAGGGGCAGACTTTACAGTGTCTGGTTGGTAACGATTTGAGTATTTTTGTTTTGTTTGTAACATAGACCCTTCAGAACACTGTATGGCTTATTAACAGTTTTAAAGGAGTTCTTAAAGATCAAGATGTCATTTTTCTTAAGTGTTTATCTCTAAGGATTTATTAAATGAGTTCACTGAAATTATCTTAGAGCCTTGATTTATTAAGGTGATTTTTCTCTAACAGGTATTGCAAAGACTTTCTGTGGGTTTTAGAAAATAGTTAATTGAATTCACTGAATTGTTTGTGGACAGCAGTGTTACAAGCAAAGTCCTTCCTCCCAAGAATCACCACTGCTCCTCCCTGTTTAACTTTCCCAGCCACCCTGCATGTTCTTCTTTTGTTGAACAAACACTTAATGAGCATTTGTATGTCCCAGGCACATGTTAGACCCTGCTGATTGGATGGAGACTAGGGTTTATGGGGGTTGCCTGTGAGGCATTCAGCCTAGTAGAGAAGAAAGCATTCTAGGACTGTACACAGATGGTTATCTTCTAACATATCCCCCACACAACCAGTGGATATATAGGGCCTCCCTAAGGAGGAGATTGAATGATCTCTTGCACTCCCACGGGCATTATTGCATGTAAGCCTGGCCCATAAATCTTCAAGAGGGGTGTTTTCCTTATTTTACAGATTAGGCACAAGGATTAAATGGTAATGCCAAGTTTTGAAAGCAATATTTTTAACTCTGAAAATATTCTATGATATACCAAGTGATTTTTTTTTGTCTTCCTTTATTATTTCATACTAACTTTAGCATACAAAGGAAAGAACTTCACAAATAGAATCCTATACTACTGAGACTCTTTTAAGTGTTTTTCTTATAAGATGATAATGGAAAGTCACTTTTTAAAAAAGTGACAGAATCACTTCTATTTAGCTAAATTTTTACTCTCAACTCTAGTAAGTCTATATAGAACATATTTTATTGTAATCTGTATTCATTTGTTTAACTTCTTTTCTTTTTAGTGGAGTTGGATCACAGGATTGATTTTGAACTCAGAGAAGGCCTTGTGGAGAGCCGTTATTGGTCAGCTGTCACGTCGCATACTGCCTATTGGTCATCTTTGGATGTTGCCCTTTTTCTTTTAACCTTCATGTACAAACATGAGCACGATAATGATGCAAAACCCAATTTAGATCCAATCTGAACTCTCGAAGGACATGAATGGCCTAAAACTGATTTTTTTTTCCTGTTAAAATGTGTGTGTCAAGATATGGAGATTTCAGGGTTAAAGTATATTTTAGTTTTGTTTAGGGCAACAGATATTTGAATTTAAAAGCACTTTATTTAAAAAAAAAAAAAGTTTTCAGTTCTGAAGAAGTTATTTACAGTTTCTATCATTCTAATTATGAGTCTGACAAAACCTTCTCCAGAGAATCAAGCAAGACCTGGATGTGAAGAAGGTTTGGGTAAACTGCATGTAAAGGCTACAAATCACAATCTGATTCCTCCCAAATATAAAGGCATATGGAACATAATGTATTAACCAAAGTATGTTATAAATTAAAAATGATCAAGGTTCAGCATATTCTATATGGAGATCGCAAGGTGGTATCATTGTTTTAGATTTCTATGAAGGCTTTCATTTTTACATCCCTTTGAAAAAATATAACAGATTTAAAATGTTTTGAATTTAACTTGTTTAGGAAAAACTAATGCTTAAAACAATATTTGAACTACTGTATTTATAATTTATTACCTCTAATTGCTTTATTTCAATGTATGAGACATGACTTTTAATGTTTGCTTTGAACATAATTTAAGAACCAGATTTATTTTCTATAGTGTTAAACCCTTTTTTCTCAGAACTCCATCTTTGTACTCTTCAGATGAATATATAGACACTGTGGCATACATTATTTTCTTTTTTCATTAAAAACTTATGGCTTCATACAACACTAGTTCAATTTTTTAAATAAACTTTTTATTATGTTACATGTACTTCAGGGAAAGCTAAAGTTTCTCTAAACTTGACACAGAGTACTCCATAATGGGTACATTTCATTAGCTTTATTAGAAAACTAGTAAATGCTTTTGAATAGGTAGTATGACAGCTGTTTTAAATGTGCAAACATTTGTGTGCCAAACAACATATATGAAGGAATGGGATGCCACTAACTAGTGCACATTGTTTCTAAATGTGCCATTGAGACACAAGGCACAGTAAGTCAGGATTCTGAGGCATTGGAAGGGTTTTCTTCAGCTGTAATTGTTTCCACAGTGCTTTTCATCTGAGGGGCTCAAAGTTTAAGAGGAGTACATTCAATAACCCATGTACTAGCTTCTTGAGGTAAGTAAGTAAATCTTGTTCTCATGTTACATGTTAATTCACCAAGGCACCAAAACATTTAAAGTGCCTTGAATTAGATTACATCACAAATCAGAAAAGCTTGGATTGGGCTGGTCACCGTGGCTCACGCCTGTAATCCTAACACTTTGGGAGGCCAAGGTGGGAGGATCACTTGAGCCCAGGATTTCAAGACCAGCTTGGGCAACATAGTGAGACCCCCTTCTCTGCAAAAAATGACAAAAATTAGCCACTTGTAGTGGTGTACACCTGTAGTCCCAGCTACTCGAGATGCTGAGGCGGGAGGATCACCCGAGCCCAAAAGTTCGAAGCTGCAGTGAGCTCTGATCGCACCAATGCACTCCAGCCTGGGTGACAGAGCCAGACCCTGTCTCTAAAAAACAAAGAAAAGCTTGGGTTGAAGCCAGACCGTACTCTTTTATATGCTGTTCAATGACTTAATTCACATGTGATCTTTAGTAGTTTGCAAACAATAATAACAGAAGTTGCAATTCATAATTAGGATAAATGACCATGAACCCAGTGTTTCCCTGCTTGATTTCTAGGTTCTTGGATTCTCACACGAAAGAGGAGTTACCTAGAGGGGATCAGTAGCCATCCCTGTTGCACACAACCCTCACTTCTGAGTGGTTACCACTATGTTCCACTTAAGGTGCTGTCTTTTCTTATCTTGCAAGGAATTGCTTAGCTTCCCAATAATCATTGTCAAACTGGGAGCAAAGTTGGTCAGCTGTATCTCTCACCTCCTCCTTTCTTCATAACATAGTAGAATCTGTGACTGACTTGTAGGTTTTACTTAGCACTTCAGTGCTGTTGGCTGCTTTGGCCTTTTGTTGAATTTGCACAACAACATAAAGCACTTGTTTTTAATGTTTAAAAAAAATTCCAAGGCTCCATGACCAAGTATGTGACTCACTAAGAAACCCTTGCTATAAAAGGCTTTTGATGAAATCTTAGCAAAGCTAAAGTAATCTCTAACTTAGAGATTCCTATGAACTCAGGTCATTTTCATAGCCTGTTTATTTTGTAGATCTAATTTAGTTCTCAGGAAAATTAAACTCATGCTATATGACTGTATCGTTAAAGGTACTTGAGCATATGTTGCTGTAGGTGGTATGACACTCAAATGCATAAGAACTTTATGGGATTTATTCGTAACCACTAGAATATGAAGAGCCCTTTTTACCTGAGAAGAGTGAAATTATGTCAAACCTTTTAATTTGATATCACTGAGTAAAAGGTATGTTCCTATAGCCATGGGAATATGCCTGCTTTCTTTTTTTCATATGGAGAAAACAGTCAAATTTAACCATCTGGAGTTTATTTGAATTCTTGGAAAAAGCAATATTCGAAACCTTTTCAAAAATAAGATGTTCTGGACTACTGGATGGATGTTTTGTTTTCAGTTCATTATTTCATCAGTAGAGATGGTGATTTTGGTTTTGTAGTATCCTTGTTTCTACGTCTGTGCATGTTAATATTGGATGTATTTGTATATACTTAATATACAGGCTGTGTGTCATTCTGGCTTGATTAGAAGCTAAGTCAGTTACTGAGTAACATTTTGCAACTTTATTCCAGCAAGTACTAAATCGGCCAAAAAAAGTTTTGTTTTTGATACCATTAAAATTTTATTCTCTATTTTGTGTACATGCTATGATGATTCTCCCGAGTACTGATTAGATCACTGAACTTTAGTTAGGTTCCCTAGAATTATTGACGGTTAGAGTAAGAATGTCTTAGATTAAATCTAGCTTTGTTTTTACTTTAAAATTAGTCTTGCTAAGCCTTATGTTAGTTCATACTTTCTTTTCAAGAGTAATTTTGTTTATAATCCAGTGTTACTGTATTTTAGGACACAATTTAAAAATACACTGGATTTTGGCCAGGTGTGGCAGCTCATGCCTGTAATCCCAGCACTTTAGGAGGCCAAGCAGGGAAGACTGCTTGAGCCCAATAGTTGAAGACCAACCTGGACAACATGGTGAAACCCAGTCTCTACAAAAAATACAAAAATTAGCTGGGTGTGTTGGCACACATCTGTGGTCCCAGCTACTGAGGAGGCTGAAGTGGGTAGGATTGAGGGGAGGTAAAGGCTTCAGTGAGCCAAGATTGCACCACTGCACTCCACCTTGGGTGACAGAACTGAACCCTGTATCCAAAAAATATATGTATATATGTATACACACACACACACACACACACACACAGGATTTTCTCATAACTGCTCTTTTGTATGTGAAGCAAGCCTTAGGAATCTTATGTTTTACTTCTTTCTGTTAAATGGCATCTGTTATGTTTTGAAGTACTCACACTGAACATGCTTCATGCTGAATACTCACACTAAAGGCCTCAGACGTGTAATCATTCATCCTTAGTCTCTTTTTTCTCTCTGTTTCCTCATTGGGAGCTAAAGCATCCTAGTCTACAAGAAATTTAACACACCATACTCCAGCTTTGCATCACCTAACCAGTAGACAAAAGGAAAAGAAATTGTCAGTGCAGTATCAGAGCTGGTGCCTCTGTTCATTCCAGTGATAGTACATGAGCCCCTTCCAGTGGAATCAGATCAAGCCAAGAAATTTTACTGTAAAGTCTAGTAGAAGACAAGTAAATAAATTTCTTTTTGATCAATTAGATTGGTATTTCTCTCTTCTCAGCTAATGAGTAAGGCATGTGGACAATAGAGAAAACTAATTTGAGTGTATGTATTAAAATTGCTCTTCTAAAACAACGTAAGATATTAAAGATCAAGGCAGAGCAAAAAAGAATGTAGCAATCATATGCTAGAAAAAGGGCCGGGCGCGGTGGCTCAAGCCTGTAATCCCAGCACTTTGGGAGGCCGAGACGGGTGGATCATGAGGTCAGGAGATCGAGACCATCCTGGCTAACACGGTAAAACCCCGTCTCTACTAAAAAATGCAGAAAAAACTAGCCGGGTGAGGTGGCGGGCGCCTGTAGTCCCAGCTACTCGGGAGGCTGAGGCAGGAGAATGGCGTGGACCCGGGAGGCGGAGCTTGCAGTGAGCTGAGATCCGGCCACTGCACTCCAGCCTGGGAGACAGAGCGAGACTCAGTCTCAAAAAAAAGAAAAAGAAAAAAAGAAACTAAGTTTTACTAAACTGTGTTTGGGGTAGTTGACCTCTGTAGTTATTCTGAAGTTTTCTATCCCTTATCTGTATTCTTCTGTCATTCCTGTGCCTCAAGGCTCTGCCAGGAATCTGATGGTACTCTGGCTGAACCTAAAACGTAAGAATCTCAAAGGTCTCATTTAGTAAATGTTAGTGCTGAGTTGGTGACAGCCTGGGTTATATACTTTCGGTCTTCAGTAGATGCTTGTGATAGTTTTCAAAGAACTGTAAAATTTCCGGGTTTGTACAGATTTTTAGAGATCATTTAATCCAACCCTGTTATAGCATCATGTCAGCATTTAAATAGCAGTAAAGGTCATGAAAAGTAAAGTGAAGGGCAGCAGACTCCATGAAAGACTAAATACAGCGACAACTGAGGGAAGTAGTAAAGTAAAAAATATTGATGGAATTTTAAAGCTGGAGGGGACATAGAGACCATTCTTTTCTAAATAATATTATGCAAATATTAACAGGTGTGATGTCAAAAACTAAGTTTAGGAATTGACAAATTCAAAAATTTCCCTTACAGCAGGGCTTTGGGAGCCTTTGCTACACTAAATGCTCTGTGAATCTATCTGGTGCTGCGTGGGGGCCTCCAAATTTATTTAACCATATTTTTTAATTTGGCATTTACCTAGAGAAATGCTATCACATTTAATTCCTTAATTTTACAGTTTCACCTCCTCATGTGATTCCTTCAGTTGGTAAGTGACCAATTCCACCCTATACAATCACATGGCCAATCAATGACAGAATCAGAATTAGAACCTAGTCCCCTGATTCCCAACTATGTCTTATATCAGACTGTTTCCCCTAATTGATAGGAAACTCCTCCTAAAGGGCAGAAACTGCCTGTCTTCATTTTTGTCCCCCACCCTCCCCTCCACACACACAGCTCTGTAATCTGATCCTTTACTCAACAAGCTGTTAACACATGGCTATAGGCTTGAGTTCCCAGTTGGTCCCTTCTTCCTTCCAGACTCTCATAAGAGTACACTATCAGGTCTGGACAGACTTCCTCTTATGCCTCAGATTCAAAATACCCAGGAAAAAGAAAAAGAAATACAAAACAACAAAAAGAAAATCAAGAAAAAAAGTTAAAATGTCCAGGAAATATTTTGTTAGTTTTCTATTCTGGTGACAAATGCAAACTTAAGGAAACAAGTTACACAGTATTAACTAATGTTTAACATTCCTTTCCATAGTGTTTATGTGTTGGCCTTTTATCAATTCATGACAAATAGGTCACTTCCAAAACTGTTTCAACATAGGTTAACTCAGAAATTTAAAATTTAAGTACTATCCTTTTTGGAGACTACAAGAAGAGTTCTTACTTTTGTGTTTTGTTTTGTTTTTTGGTGTGGGGGTGTGTGTGTGTGTGTGTGTGTTCCCCAAAAATAGTCCCTTGGTAGATGGTTAGCGTGAACTTTTCCTCTGCCTTTGTGTTTGAATAGGGGCGGGTGCATGCTTAGTATTGTCTGCTACCTTATGGTTTTTCATTTATATGTAACATGGTACAACTTGCTTCCTCTCCACCCAAGAGTTGTCAGGATATGTTGGGGAATATTCTTTAGGAAGATTACATCTGGTCTTCTGTTGGAGTAAGATGAAAAACAAGTATGTTAACACTCGACCTTTAGTGCTTTCTCCTGGAAGACATTGAATATCTAGGAGCGTCACTCATACCTTCCCTTGACTGTACCCACACCCACCTTGGTCCCTGCTTGATGTCTCAAACTTTTTGTTTCCCTTTGAGCTTCATGACAAAAAATTATAACCATTTTCTGGTTCTAAGGCTGCCATAATCCCAATGTTGCCAGTAAGAAGATGGAGAATTTTTGCTCATAGGGACATTTCTCAGAAGCAGCTGGCACCATGACTCTCCTGAGACCCTTGTTTCCTTTCTTTCAGCTCCTGAAACTTCTTACGTTCACTCTCCCTAACACTACTAAAAGTTGTCAGTGACTGCAATCACAAGTCTCTGAAGGCAGGCTTTTTCTTTTTCCTTTTCTTTGTTACTTCTTATTTTCAATAGCCAAGGCAGGTTAGTTTTCTCAGGATCTTCGGTTTTACTGAAGCATGCATTATTTCTGTTTTCTCTGCAGTGATCAGTTTGGATGACAGAAACTTTAAACTTTTATTGTAGCATTGTCCAATTCTGATTTTTCTCAGCTGGAACTGATGCACGCACATTTAATAATTTCGAAGAAATGAGAGGTAAATGTTTTATCCTGCATTATACTGTGTTTCTCTAGCTGAATTGATCTGTTATCTTGCTCACCCGAAAGAAGTAGTTGTGCCCTACAGTGAGCAACCTCAGACTAGTCTGTTCTAAGCATTCTGGGGAAAATAATCCTCATCATACAGTTCGTGGTAACTCTTCCAAAAAGTTTATGAAGATTAAAAGATCTCCCTATTCATCAGCTATGGCTACCACATTCCGTTCTACTAGGAAGGCTGGTGGCCACAACTCCCTCTAAAACATCAGAGGATAAAGTACACTTATATATAAGAAAAGATAGGCATATTCTGATTATGGTGCATTCACAATTTCTCAGTCCAGACTTCAGTCAATGACCAAAGCTCTGAGGTCTTCAGGCTAACTCCAAGAACCTGTGCAGATAGAGACCTACTCCTACTACATTTCCACTCACCTTCCCATTCCCCCACCTTTGCTACCAAAGTGACTTAAAAAGTCAAGTTTTAGGTGCTTGTTTTTTAAGAGTCCAGGAATTTCAGTGCTGAACAAAAGCAATTCCCTGAGGTGGTACTGACCTTAGATGAGAAATAAGTGGCCAGGTTATAGGGACTACATATAGAATTGAGATGGGACAGTGTACTGACTATTAGGGGAAAGAAAAGGTAAACATGTGAAAGGAAAGACATTTGTGCATGATCATGACAGTGTGACAGCTTAGACATTTCAGAGGCATTGTTTCTGAGAAAGGGGATAGGGACACATAGGTCTGAAGACAACCAAAGCCCTTTGATGATGCCATCTGTCACTCAAGGCTCCCCACAGCCTGCCCAACCTGACTCTCCTGCCTGCTTCTCCTCTGCCTACCTTCAACAATCAAATTATATTTTTGCTAAAATAAACTACATCCCATTTGCCTTAAAATGCTTGCATTTTAGTTATTGTAGTGGCTACCTGTTTTTGTCTGTCCAGCATCCTATTTCCCCTCCTTTTGGATCCTCTCCTACCCAATTCCATACGTCTTCTTGAACCCTTTCCTGCTCCTAGTTAAAATTATTTTCTGCTTTGTGTGAGTCCCTGTAAGCACCAACAGCTCAATCATAGCACTGTGCACCATGGCCAGGAGATGAGTACATGACTCAGATCAGACCTTATTTACCACCCCATAAGCCACAGTGATTAGACAAGAAATAGGCACAGGACCCTAACAAGATAGGGCAGAAGCCTTCCATAGGATTTTATTTGGTGGCCCTGATGTGCAGGGAGCCTTCTATGGCTGTTAAACACAATCCAGTGGCACATGGGGTGATATGA